TAAAAAGTGAAAACGCATAATAGGACCCCTTTAAATATAATTCCAGATATGTATATTTAAACTTGATTTAAGATATATTTTAAAACTTCATTCAATGTACTCTGCAGAATATACGTTTGGTGTCAGCAAGTGTTTTTTTGTTTTGTTTTTGTTTTTTGAAAGAATTTATTACTTTGATTCAACATGGATGATTAAATCAAATGTATCTAATTTAATTTAACAATAATTTTTATCAAAAGTGACAGTAAAGACATTTAAAATGTTACAAAAGATTTCTATTTCAAATAAATGCTGAACGTTCTATTAATCAATGTATCCTGAAAAAAATGTATCACGGTTTCCATAAAAACATTAAGCAGCACAATATTATCAAAGTTGATGATAATAAGAAATGTATCTTGAGCACCAAATCAGCATATTAGAATGATTTCTGAAGGATCATGTGACACTGAAGGCTGGAGTAATGACTGCAATTTTTTTTACACAGGAACAAATAAAAATTTAAATAATAATATAATAGAAATTAGTACTTTCAAATTATAATAATATTTCACAATATTACCATTGTACTGTATTTTTAATAAAATAAATGCAGCCTTGGTGAGCATGGCATCTTTCAAAAACATTAAAAAATCTCACTGACCCCAAATATTTGAATGATTGCGTAATATTATATTAAAAAGTCTTATCTTACACAACTTAGCTTCTCAAATAAATTTATCTTGTTTTAAGGACGTTTAGATTTTGCTGTAAAACAAGACAAAATATTGATTAATAAACTGATTATTATTTTTATTTTAGTTTTATTTATTTTTGCAGTGGTTTTGTTCACTGTACCTGTCGCAGGCCAATTTTCTTACTGTCCCACATCTGTTTAAAATTCCAGAAGAATGGCTGTTCACATTTCTGACATGAGTCACTGTCAAGCCACTCAGGAGTCTGAGACACAAAACAGATGAGGACATGCTTAAACTATGTAAACAGACATATGTAACTAACATAAATACCACATGAGGCAAGCCCTATTGTACTAGACGCTTCATCCTTGCTCTACACAGTATCTCTCTCACCTCTTGTCGTGTGACGTCCATGTTCCAGATAACTATTCCTCCATCTGAGCCACAGGAAATGAGCTGACGGGTGTGAGGAGCATAACACAAACCCTGCACTTTATCACTGTCGCGCACACACACACACACACACACACACACACACACACACACAAACACACACAAACACGCACAAACACTCAAATATTAAGACCTGACAAGCGTGCTTTGCTTATTCTCATATCTTACATAATACATGACAACAATTCATCTGTCCTACTTGTGTCCCTGCAGCTCAATGGCTGTGCCTTTACGGCCTCCAATGTCCCACATGATGATTGAATGATCAGAACTTCCAGAGAATAAAACCCTTTGCACAGGATCCCAACACAGGGCTGTGACATTGCCTGCACACATATACACACACAGTCATCGTTGAAAGATTCCGATTCAGGAACGGCGCAAGTAATGGAATACATGTTTCCCTTATACAATATTTTATGGATGTAGTCATGAAGATTAATATATTTGTGTATCCTGAGGTTATAAGGACTTTAAGGCTACTCAGGGGGGATGACAGTATTGTCATCCAAGCCACCAGGGGACGCCATCCACACTAAAATAATTGAAGGAGGTCATCATTTAAATGTTAAAGGGATAGTTCACCCAAAAATGAAAATTTGATGTTTATCTGCTTACCCCCAGGGCATCCAAGATGTAGGTGACTTTGTTTCTTCAGTAGAACACAAACAAAAATGTTTAACTCAAACCGTTGCAGTCTGTCAGTCATATAATGGAAGTGAACGGGAATCACGGCTTTGAGAGTCAAAAAAACATACACAAACAAAACCAAATTAAACCCTGCGGCTCGTGACGATACATTGATGTGTAAAGACATGAAACGATCGGTCTGTGCAAGAAACAGTATTTATATAGTTTTTTACCTCTGATACACTGCAATGTCTGAACTGTCCTGAGCACGTCCTTGACAGCCGGCGCATGACACGTCGTCTT